CCCCTACAATTATGAGTTTCAACGATCAAGATTTTAAACAGATCTGTGATTTTCAACTTTGATGTTAGCTTTCTTGATGTTTTTTCTCTCTCTCATCTGTACAATATACTGAACGCTTCATGACCACTGCTAGAGAAACTTGTTTTGATGCATATTTAATTCAATCAGATCCGAGTCGTTTGCTGCTAAAAGCAGAACTAGAGCTCTTAACTGATGAATTATGGCCATTGACTCAAAGGGAAGGAGCTGAAACCCGTCTGTTTTCTCTTGGTGGCGCAGGTGTGTGATCGGAGCGCCGTGGCTGTTTTTTTGGTGTTAAATGAATCATTTCCTCCAGAGAACAGAAGTCTTAGATGTCCACACATGAGATATTCACATCTGCTGGTGCACTCGGGGGTCTGATACTAGATCTGTGCCAAAAACCTAGTGAGCTGCCTACATAGGCAACATTTGAAGACATCAGTCACACTCCCGATGATTGAAAGCATGCAGCAACGGTTTGGCTAAATTCTAAGCCAGCATCATATATATTCTTCATGGAGAAGGCAATGCATCAGGCAATGCATGATTATATAAAGGACAGACACGCTGAGAATGGTGTTTGTGTGTCATTCTCTCTCGCGCACCGCATTGGTGTCCTGTTACCATGGTATCCGCATCACTGTCATCACCCTGAGAAACAGTGAAGTCGAGTAAAATCCTGAAAATCACACAACAGATCTCTTTAATAGCATAATTGCAAATGAATCAAATGGAGACCGTTGCTGAAGTCTCCTTTTAAAGACAAAAAGTCAGAGATCTCAATATGAACTCAAACATTTCTCATTGAAGTTTACTCCATGCAAATAAGCTGCGTTAATTATTAGCTCTATACTGGTACAACTATTGACTCACTTGCGCCTATTTTAATTTCTTCTGAATATATCATCTGAGACAAAGCTGATGCTTAAATGAAAGATGCCTGAGCTATAAAAGAAAAACATCTTGCTCGGATAGAGACATTAGAAACCAGTACAAGTGACAGACTGAATCTGTGTTTGTGAACAAAACGGTTAAATGAATAATTCAATGACTCATTCATAAAGACAGTCCTTTGTATGATTCTTAAATGAATCAGTGTAGCTGAAATAATCAGCTGAATGAAAGATTCAAAGACTCATCCAGAAAGTCATTTGTATTGTTCGAAAGGGAATCAGTGTAGCTGAACGAATCAGTTGAATTAATGATTCAATGACTCATTCATAAAGACAGTCATTGGTATTGTTCCAAAATTAATCAATATAGCTGAATAAGTTGGTTAAACGAACAATTCATTGACTCGTTTATAAAGACAGTCATTTGTATAATTCCTAAATGAATCAGTGTAGCTAAATGAATAGGTTGATTGAATGATTCAATGACTCATCCATAAAGACTGTCACCTGTATGGATTCAAAATGAATCAGTGTAGCTAAATGAATCTGTTGTTTGAATGAATCAATGACTCATCCATAAAGAAAGTCATTTGTATTGTTCCCAAATGAATCAGTGTAGCTGAGTTAATCGGTCAAATGAATAATTCAATGACTCATTCATAAAATACAGTAATTTGTATCATTCCTAAATGAATCAATTCATCTAAATTAATCAGTTGAATGAATGATTCAATGACTCATCCATAAAGACTGTCACCTGTATGGATCCAAAATGAATCAGTGTAGCTGAATGAGTCTGTTGTTTGAATGAATCAATGACTCATCCATAAAGAAAGTCATTTGTATCATTCCTAAATGAATCAGTTGAGTTAAATTAATCAGTTGAATGAATGATTCAATGACTAATCCATAAAGACTGTCACCTGTATGAATCCAAAATGAATCAGTGTAGCTGAATGAATCGGTCGAATGAATGATTCAGTGAGTCACTCAGAAAGGTTTGTCACATTGGTCATTTGTTGCCACCTACTGGTATAATGATGTGACCTGCAGAAAGAGTCACTGTAAAATCCTCCTACTGATGTTTAATACATATATGGAGGTGTAGATTGTGTGTGTGTGTGTGTAGATGTTATTCCGTTCCGTTGGTCCATAACATCCTCTCTGCCTATTTCCATAATTATGCCAATGCCACAGATGGTGTGCATCTCAGACAGTCAATTTCTCTGTTTACAGCAGCATTCGTGTGTGTGTGCAGTTATGTGAGTGACAAACTTCATAATCTGCATCTTCACACTGTCAATCCCTCAGGGACCTCCTGTAGATCTGTGTGAGTGTGTGTGTGTGTGAGAGTCTGTGTGTGTGTCTCACAAGCGCTCTGTTGATCTCTCAGTGAATCAAAGCCTTCTTTCAGTCTCTCGGTCTTCAGCACTGAGAGTAAAACACCGAACACGTCCTCATCAAGCTGCCGCAGGATTTACTCTAGTGAACCGCTGAATCTCAAGTGGGAATGTCTAGGTCATGTTTCACTTCAAAATCCAAAGAGAAAATCAGGAAAATACATTATCCTTTAAGAAAATGATGCCTTTTCATTGCTTCAACTTCAAGCGAAACTAGGGATGTGTTAGATGTGGATAGGGATACTGGTATCGGTATCGGGCCCGATACTGAGCTCCTGTACTCGTACTCGTTAAAATGCCCCGATACCAAACGCAGATACCACACAGCATGTGATAAGTGCCATATTCAGACAACAGAACAACAGACAGCAGAATGGATTTATTAGAGATTAAAGATGTTGTAGATTGTGTGTGTGTGTGTGTAGATGTTATTCCGTTCCGTTGGTCCATAACATCCTCTCTGCCTATTTCCATAATTATGCCAATGCCACAGATGGTGTGCATCTCAGACAGTCAATTTCTCTGTTTACAGCAGCATTCGTGTGTGTGTGCAGTTATGTGAGTGACAAACTTCATAATCTGCATCTTCACACTGTCAATCCCTCAGGGACCTCCTGTAGATCTGTGTGAGTGTGTGTGTGTGTGAGAGTCTGTGTGTGTGTCTCACAAGCGCTCTGTTGATCTCTCAGTGAATCAAAGCCTTCTTTCAGTCTCTCGGTCTTCAGCACTGAGAGTAAAACACCGAACACGTCCTCATCAAGCTGCCGCAGGATTTACTCTAGTGAACCGCTGAATCTCAAGTGGGAATGTCTAGGTCATGTTTCACTTCAAAATCCAAAGAGAAAATCAGGAAAATACATTATCCTTTAAGAAAATGATGCCTTTTCATTGCTTCAACTTCAAGCGAAACTAGGGATGTGTTAGATGTGGATAGGGATACTGGTATCGGTATCGGGCCCGATACTGAGCTCCTGTACTCGTACTCGTTAAAATGCCCCGATACCAAACGCAGATACCACACAGCATGTGATAAGTGCCATATTCAGACAACAGAACAACAGACAGCAGAATGGATTTATTAGAGATTAAAGATGTCTACGAAGTATATGTATGCAATGAATATAAAACATTCGGTATTAATGCCTGTATAGCTGATGTGCGCCAGCTGGTAAACAATGCACAAGATACTTAATGGTAGGGAGGGAGGGAGAGAGCGAACTTCTGTTGTGTGATCTTTATTGATGTTCGCTCACTTAGCACGCATCATTTGGATTAAAACTAAATCATAAATATAAGACAATTTATAGGGGCATTCACTACAAACATCATTTATTTTCAACCTTAGGCATACATGACTTTCAGGCGAAAGTGAATCTAGCAGCCTGTGTGAAATGCGCTAGTCTGTACTGTACTTGTCCCTCTCTTGTCCCACGCATTATATGAGTGGCTTTCGAAAATAAATCGCTGCACGTTTCAGATGAAAAAAACGCGACTTCTATTTCTGAAAATAGGAGATTTATAACGAGTGGTTCCCTACATTTTTACAGCAAAGCGCGTGATTACAGTACTGAGCCGCTGCAATGGAGCAGCTCTAATGCTATTAAAGGGGTCATATGATGTTGCTAAAAAGAACATTATTTGGTGTATTTGGTGTAATGAAATGTGTTTATGTGGTTTAAGGTTCAAAAAACACATTATTTTCCACATACTGTACATTATTGTTTCTCCTCTATGCCCCGTCTTTCTGAAACGAGTCGATTTCTACAAAGCTCATCGGTCTGTAAAGCGAGGTGTGCTGTGATTCTCATTAAAGCATAATGCAAACCCCCCCACAACAACAACAACTTAGGTTTACTACAAAATCAATGCAGATTCATGAATTAAACATCAAATACCTCCATGTAGTACACTTACAATTGTATTTTTTCAATAATAATTTATCTTTTTTGGGGATTACAGTAATGACAAGGAGATACTAATGCTTCCAAAAATGTATTTTCTTTATGCCAAATATATTTTTATTATATAACTAATTTATATAATAATTAATAATTATAAAATATGCATTATGGTATACTTATTATTTTTATAATATATATAATTTAAATAATAAAATTAATAAAATCTACGTCAAAATTACGTTTAATACAATGTGCCACTTCTCTGTAATTACTTATTAGCAATTTCTGAGTGAAATTTGTCTCTACATCCATTTTTTAAAATGATAAGTTAAACTAAATTAAATAATAATATCAATTTAAAATACAATGAATCAATATAAAGGATGGCCTCTCACGCAAAAGCTCTTTGTTTTTCCAGAAGGACTGAACCTGTACGAGTTCATGACGTCATTCCAGTGACGTCACATGAAAAATAGATTGCTGAGGTCACGTGATGATCAATAAATAAATCGATCTCTGTGACTCTGTCCATGGTGCTGAATCACAGCTCAACGCATAGCATAGGATTACCACGGTACACCGCCTGTCAGATCACGGTAATACCATGGTAACGAACAGCCCTGTGACGACTTGTGGGCACTTTAGTTCAGCGCAGCGATGCTCTCGGTCAGACTGACGCGTTCGATCAGGTGCGTGACGCGCCCCCGCCCGCGCGCGCAGACTCACAGTCTCCGTGAGATGCCCGTTAGACTCGGTGCGGCAGTGCAGTACCGTCTCCACGCGCACACACACATACACACACACACACACGGATCCGTGAACCGGAGAGCCGCGTGCGGACCGCGGACAGTCATGCCGTGATGGTGTCACGCGCACGGACGCGTCAGCCGTGTTTGTGAAGCCGGAGATGATGATGATGAGGATGATGATGAGGAGCGGAGATCTCCTCCGGTTACCGGGGCTCGTGATCAGACTAACGGCGCTGATGTTCGTCACCGGTTCGAGCGGGATGCCGCACGTGCTCAGATTCGGTGAGAGCTGATCGATTATATATTGAGTGTCACCGCGATTGATTCATTCATGTGTGTGAGTGAGAGAGAGTCTGTGTGTGTGCGTGCGTGTGTGTGTGTGAGAGAGAGAGAAAGTGTGCGTGTGTGTGTGATGTCACATTTTCTGCCATCAGGCCTCTGTGTGAAGATCAATAATCAGCAAGTTTGATGTTGTCAAACACGTCAAGGAGGATTTATATATATATATATATATCTCAAAAGAGTCAAATACTTCACAACTACTACTCACAGACTTTATTTAGTGTTAGTCGCGTCCAGAATCCAGATTTGTTGTGCTTTCTTTTGTGACATATATTTTTTGAACATACAAAGTCATGCACAGTGTTTTGGTTATGACCGTTTTTATGGCGTGCACATGGCCAGTACATTCAAAATGTTTATTGCAAGAAGACAGTGATAATTTATACAATAACACAGTGACGATTTATACAATAATAACTTTAAAGCAAAATTATTAGAAATTCACTCGCTCACACTCACACACACACTCACTCTCACACTCACACACAGACTCACACACACAAAAATGTTCTAAATGTTTATTTGAAGGAAAATTAGAAATTAAATCTGCATTTGAATAATAAATGTATTATTACATATAATAATTATATGTAATTAAAGATTGAATATACTTTTAAATAAATAATAAATGTAAGCTTTAAATAAAAAATAATTAGACATTAAAATTGACATTTAAGTAAATAATACATGTAATTAATATTTACTGCACATTCAAAATATTTACTGCAAGAAAAAAATGCTTTAATCTACTTAAAAAAAAATATTAGAATTAAAATATTTTATTTGCATTAAAAAATATTAATGTAATAATAAGAGTTAGAAATTACATTTGCATTTAAATAAATAGTACGTGTAAGATTTATTAAATATAATAAGAAAAATCATTTGAAATTAAATTAGCATTTAATGAAATAATACATGTAATTAAAAATAATTGTAAAGCATGTGGCAAGTGGATTCAAAATGTTTATTGCAAGAAGGAAAATACAGTAATAATTTATACAATAACTTTAAAATAAAAATATTAGAAATTAAAATTGCATCTGAATTACATAATAAATAATGAGAAATATGCATTTAAATAAATGTAAAAACAAATTAAAATATTAAAATATTGCATTTAAATAATAAATATAAGATTTAAATCCATAATAAATGTAATAATTAAAAATAAAAGAGCATTTAATTATATGCATTGCGTTCTGAAGAGGGTCATTCAGCTGTCAAGTTTTCATATTCATTTTAGTTAAGTTTTTAGTATGTATTTTTTATCATTTTTATTATTTTGTAATTTATTTCAGTTTTATTTTTTATTTCCACTTGGTGCTTCAACTTTCTAATTTTTCTAATTGCATTTTTTAAAAATCTAACATTTATATTTTATTTCAGCTTCATTTCAAGTAAATACATGTTTTAAATAGTTTTAGTTAACCATACTAACCCTTTATTATTTATTTAAATAAATATTCAAATATTATACATTTTCACAGGTTTACTCAGACGGCATTATATTATATTATATTATATTATTAAATATTTAAACATGATTAATTCTCAAAGCAATAAAGTAAACCACCTGGGCCTATTTTTTTTATAACTTTAATTATTTTATTATATACAATTGCAAGTAAAAACAAATAATGCATTATGCTGACTCTTTAAATGACATGAAGAAAACAGAATTAATTCATTAATTGCATTAATATTTGTACGACACTGCAGGTTCTCAGCGCAGTTTTACAGATGTGTTTCATTGCATTTCAGGACCAAACGTGTGATAAGCCGCATGCACTTAAACGGGAACAAAGCCACTTAAAGCTCCATGTCAGACGACTATTTTCTCCGGCAGCAAATTGCACCTTTCACAGTTTAAAAATACAAGCAAGAACAAAGCAGAGATCCATGAGCTATTAGCATGCGAGTCACACACGAGACAGAGACGGAAGAAAGATGGATTGATCCGCTATTTCCAGAAGCCACACACACTCTCTCTCTCACACACTCACACACACACACACACACTCTCTCTCTCACACACCCACACACACACACACACTCTCTCTCTCACACACCCACACACACACACACACTCTCTCTCTCACACACTCACACACACACACACACTCTCTCACACAGACACAGACACACATACACTCACTCACACACACACACACTGTCTCTCACACACTTTTAGAATATTAAGTTAAAATGTATGTATTTGAATTGCATATAAAATAATAAATATTCAGAAGAATATTCACTGGATTCGAACCCCAATGTGTCTTGTTTTTGTATCATATAGTTTTCAGCAATATCACACGACACTGCAAGAGAGCTGATTTTTCCCCAATATCTGCATGATTGCAAATGTGATATTGAACAGACAATAAGTTAATATTGTGTTACATTTTAGACAACTTGTCAATATCATCTGTTTTTGTGTAATTTCGCCCTGTTAGAACTGTTGTGCATCTCTGATCTGATTCATTACTGAATCAACCCACGTTTTTAAACAAAACGAGTGAGTCAATGATTCAGTGAGTCATTCATAAAGATGCAGATGCTTCATGAACGAATCGATTGAGTGAATGACTCATTTATTAAGACAGTGATTTGCCGCCACCTACTGGCGCTTTCAGTTTTATATTTAGAGTGTCTGAAATCATTTCATTTTTCAGGAATTAGCATAAATCTCTTCATTGTGAAAACAGTTACATTTATTCAGTTCAAAAGTATGAATGTTGTTCAAATGCGGCTAGCTGTGGAACAAGCAATATCCAATGAGTTAAAAATGCATGAGATTGAAATAAAAGCATCACAAACATCTCCTCGACAGTCTTGAGATGAAAGCTGTTCTCGGCTCTTTCTGGAGTTGGATTGCGTGTCAGCGTTCGGCTGATCTCAGGAGTAAGTGCCGATGAAACGCGACTGTAAATCCCTCTGAAAACTGATCTGAGAGCTGCTGCTTTGTGCCGAATATAAGAGCTTCCCCGTGAGCAAAGACTTGACATTTTACCTTTGCAGGAGGATAAAATCTCCGGCTCACGGCACGACGAGGCTGTTTTTAGCAGCACAACGACTGAAGTAGGATAACAGCTTTATCATAATTACACAGACAGAGAGAGAGAGAGACTAAATTCAGCTGGAAAATGTCCGTACAGTAGATAGTGTTTCTGCAGTGAGTTGATCCTCCTGAGAATAGTTTGGAAGAGTACCAGCTTTGGTGAGCAAAAGAGACTTCTTTTAGAAACATTCAAAGCTGACTGTCTTCTAGTGTTTCAGCAGCTCAAAGTGTGTTCGTGCATCTTTATTTTCAATCAATGGCACTTGATTTGATATTTTGTGACTTAATTAAGGAAATTCAGATCGTTTTTGAGCTGCAGTGTGACTCTAAATGTCTTTCAGATTGACACACACACACACAGGTATACGAGTGTGTGTGTGTGTGTGTGTGTGTGTGTGTGTGTGTTTTCCGTGGCTTGATTAAGAGGTATTTCAGTGTGAACAGCAGAAGCGGGTCACCATCTGTTTTCCTGCTGGTGTCACTTTCAGTCACACAGAGATGTAATGAGAGAGAAACACTGCAGATGACGCTGAAAACCAGTGAGCGATCTTACATGAGATCTCACTGCATCTCCTGTGTGTTTGCTCCAGTACGTTTGTGGCAGCAAATGGCTTTCTGTATGAGCGAGTCATTGATTCATTGATTCATTCAGAACTGAATCAGTTCTCAGTATGAGCTCAAACGTTTCTCAATGATCTGAGCTCATTTCACAGCTCTGTTCTCTCACCGCATGATGACTAGTGCGTCTTTTGGGTCTGTTTTTGTGTCTCCTAAAGAATTTTAGAAGCAACATCTGAGACAAAGTTGATTTTGAAACGAATCATCTTCTAATTAGTCTCGTGAGCAATGATGGAGCAACATCTGAGAGATGGGATTGTCCTCTAGAGGAAAATGAGAGAAATGGAGAAAATAACTTAATGAGAGAATGAGAGTGAGTCGCCTACTCTCACACTCACACACACTCACACACACACTCTCTCTCAAACACACACACATACACACTCTCTCAAACACACACACACACACACACACACACTCTCTCAAACACACACACACACACACAC